AAATTTGGGAGAAAAACGATACAAGGGTGCACCAAAATTGGGATCATGTTTGTTCCATACTTGACATTGAATTGAACTACGACCAGGTCGCCCTCCGTGGTGTCCATGATTTCCTCTTTCTTGCGGATAATAAACACCATGAGAAGAAATAGAAGTCCTATTGTTAGGTTAGGACATAAAAGTAGTTGGTTGAAGTTGAACATTTTGCACTAAAGTCGTTTAAGAATTTGTCTGAGCGAGATTTAGAGAGACAATTGAATCCATTTGTTTAAATCGTTTAATTCGAGCCTCTTGAGGAACCAACAAGGATTCATTTTATCGAGAAAATACATATGGTTTGTTGTTGATGAGTGAGATGATAGATTCATATTCAATCGAAAGACCTACAATGAGAATATTAAGTTGTTCGTTCTTAAGGACATGATCTACTATGGAGTCACCCTTCTTCAAAGTGCGCAACTTAGTTTGTAGTTACCGAGCATTGACTCTAGTTTGAGAGTTGAAATGAGGGTAAATTTTGTCCCAAAGTTGAAAGGAGTGTTTGCATCCAATAATGTGAGTTAAGAAAAAGATTGAAAAAGACGATTGCAGCAATGACAAGAGAAGTTGGTATTGAGTGTCCTTTATTTTATTAATCAAGTGCCTACTATCTTGGATTGTATAGAATATTTCGGATAATGCCAAGTATATTAGTCAACTGTCTCATTCGTTTTAATTGTTAGGACTGATAAAACATAATTAAATATATGAGTTCAAACTTATATTTTTTTCATCATGATTTGTTCCTCTATTGTACACATAATACACATAAAAATTTTATTCATATGTTTCCCTGTCATTTATTTTAGTGTTGTAGACCCCAAATCTTGTCCGACTCCCTAATAAAGCTAGAGATCGCCCGTTTCGAAGATGATCAAGACTTTATTAAGTCCCTAGTAGCTTTTTCTAGGTTCCATTTAAGATATGAAGGATTTTCAGAGGTAATAAAAATCGGAAATTTCGTCGGAGACAGCAGATGGTCGTCCAGGACAGTTAGACGGCTGTTCATGCCAACTTTAAGGCTATGGACGACCGTCCACTTAGCTTGGACGGCCGTCCATGACAACTTTTGCCCATGGACGGCCGTCCACACTACATGGATGACCGTCCATGACCACTTTTTGCCATGAACGACCGTCCACTAAGTCCAAACAGCCATCCACTTTTTCCTGGTGCAGTTCCTTATAAATAGGAGCCCTATTCCTCGAATTTTACACACCTCTCCACTCCTACACTCTCTAGGAAGCCTTTTGGCACTTTAGAGTAACTATGAGCATTATTCCAGAGTTCGAGTGAGCTTTCCGATTTCCTTTTAAGGTAGAAATCGGTTAAGTCTCCTTTTGAGACGTCCGAACCTTGGTAAGGTGGTACTCTTATTTTTTGTTCGAGGGAGGAGTGACTCTGTAGAGTGCGGGGACTGCCAAAAAGTGTCCTCAAATTTCGAATGGTTAATATAAAGCTTGCTTCGAAGGTTCCTTCCTTATTCTCTCTCTCTTTTACTGCTTTCTTTACCTCTTTCTTTGTGTGCATTATATAATAGGGCCATATAGACATTTAAATTCTACAAGTAGATAGAATAATAGGGTAAAAACATAATTTCTTTAAGTATTTATTTTTCTAAACTAGTCCATCATAGGGAACCCGAAAGGGGCGTTGTGGGGTGCTAACACCTTCCCCACACGTAACTAACTCCCTTACTCAACTCTGGTTGTAATGGCCAAAGTTGGTTTTTTCTAAAACCACTACCTTCTTCTTTTTTTACCTTTTTAGTGTTTAAGGTTAAAACACTGATGGCGAATCCTCGAACATTTTCGAAAACCTCGCCTTTAGGTCCAGCCCGGTTATCGGACAACCTAAAGGCGTTGAACCACTTCTTTCAAAAAATGCGAGTCAATAAAAAACCATCGAGTCGCTCTGATCGCCTCTTTTGACGGCGGCGACAGATGGCGACTCCACTGGGGAAGCTAGAGAGTTGATCCCATTTAGTGATGGACTTGTTTAAGAAATAAAAACTAGAAATTATTCTTTTACCCTTTCTTACTTTATAGCATGTTTTACTGTTTGGCTTTAATAATTGTTGTATGCTTATTTTCTGCAATTGTTTGAAATAAATGATTGTACACAAACCCTTGCACACAACAATCCCTCTATACTCGGGGGTAAGAGAGAATACACATAGGGAGTGGATGACAGGTACGACTGACCATGGTAATGGCCTTAGTGCCAGCAGGTCGTTGTCGGAAACCACCACTCAAGGTGATAACCTTCTTCTTTTGGTCTAAGAACATCGACACGGAGATCCATGCATGGTTCAAAGACTGAGAGATTGAAGGGTTCCTATAATGGGGGCACCTTGGGGTCTGGCCTTGGTGAGAATAGTTAGAACCTACCTTTATCAATGCACTTTTCTATAGGAAACCCCTACCTCATAATTAAACAATGTCACTCTGTTCGCGGATGAGTGAATTGTTTTAGAATCGCGCAGTGGAATGTTTGCGTTTACGGACAAAAACCAAGAGGGGGGGGTGAATTGGTTTCTCAAACAAAAATTAGGGTTTTAAAATTTTTCCCAAATTTCACCGATTAAAATGTTGTGTAAAGTGACTTTAATAATTGTTGTATGCTTATTTTACGCAATTGTTGAAATAAACTGCACAAAATCCTTACTGCGGTTCCTCTATACTGGGGGCAAAGGTGAATACACATGGGAGTGGGTGGCAGTGCAGTAGACCATGGTAATGACCTTAGTGCCGACTGGGTCGTTGTCGAAAACCACCACTCAAGGTGATCAACCTTCTTCTCTTGGTCTAAGAATGTTGTAGAGGCCTTTTTTCCATGCATGTGGTTCAAAAATTGAGAAGATTGGAAGGGTCTTATAATGGGGCACCTGTGGGGACACTGGCCTTGATGAGAATAGTTAGAACCTACCTTTGCCAATGCACTTTTTGTAGGAAAACCCTACCTCGTAATTAAACAACGTCACTGCTGTTCGCGGATGAGTGAATTGTTTGTGCATTTGTTTCCGTTGCACTTGATTGTCGGATAACATAATCATATAACGACAGAAAATAAAAACAAAATCTCAAAATTCTTTCAGTAATAAACACTTTTATCTCGGACTGACCTACATTTCAGCTAGCCTTGATTTCTCGTGTTCTTGTAAGCTAAGTAGCCACGTGGACCGACGAGAAGAGATAAGGGGATATAAAACCATTCTTTTATAATAAACCAACTTTATCTCGGATAGTCTATATCTTAGCTAGCGACCTCGACATGCGCTATTTGTAAGCTAAATAGCCCGTGAATGTGACCGGTTTAAGAGATAAAGGGTTAAAAATAATAAGAATAATCTAAAACGATAAAAATAATGAAATTTAATAAA